TTGTCAAAGGGTTTTAAAAATGTTCCATTAATAATGAGAGTTGTGTAGGTCCTGTTCATTTTTTTAACTTCAAACTGATGTGGAATTGCATATTTAGGATTATAATAATCCAAGTACAAGGCACGAAAAATAACTCTGTAGTTGGTCTAAAAATTAATAAAATAAATCACCACAGTATTAATTACCCATCAATTAACAACATCCACGTCTTACCCAACAGTTGGTGTTAACAAATATTGCAAAAATAATGCAAAACGTGAAAAATATTTTTGAAGACATTTTCGTAGAATTTCCAAATAATACTGAGTGCGTAAATTAAAAAAAAAATCGATTAAAATTATTCATGATTTTAATTATAGATTAACAAACATCGTTCCGGAAGTTTGACATAAAAAATAAGTTATTGTGCGAAAATTAAATTTTCAGTGTCATTGTTCGATTTTGTATATTAAATTCAATTTACAACAAATTGTAATCCAAAACAAATGTATAATAAATCCTAATAAAATACTCATTAGGTCTTGAATAAATCTCAAATAAATTCTAATTCAATTCAAACACAATCTCAGTTTAATCCTAACTAATTACAAAGTAACGGAATTGAAATCCAATTTAAATCCTAACTAAATACCAACTGAAATCAAATTTAATTCGAAATTGATCCTGATTAAATCCTGACTAAATCCAATTTGAATCCAGAATAAAATCTATATAAATTCTAACTAAAATCAAACAAAATTACAATTAAATCTTTATTAAATTTTGACTAAATTCAGAATAAATTCAAAATAAATCCTGACTAAATCCAAGTTGAATCCAAAATAAAATCTACATAAATTCTAACTGAAATCAAACAAAATTCTAATTAAATCGCAATTAAATTTTGACTAAATTCGAACTGAATTTAAAATCAATCCTGACTAAATCCAAGTTGAATTTAATATAATGATTTTATTTAATTTAGATTGAGAAAGAGTTTTATTTATAAATTTATATATAATACAATTTAAATTTCAATTTAATATAAACTTCCAATCAGTTTTAATTAAATCTAGAAGCTAGATTAAATACCGAATTAAAACCAAATTTTATCCTGATCAAATTCTATCTGAAATCTGAAGAAATCCAATCCCAATTTTAATCATATCTTAATTAAATCCTAACTGAACCTTCAGCAGTTTATAATTTAATTCTGAATAATCCAAGCTAAATACTAATTATATCTTAGTTATGTATTAATTAAATACAAATTGACTTCAAAATAAATCCTGGTCAAAATACAGTTTGAATCCTGATTGAGATCAACAAAAATTTTAGGTGAATCCTAACTGAATACTAATAATGTGTAATTTATAATTTTATATGGTACATTTTAGATATAAGATAACAAATGTATTCTGAATAGTTAGATGTTAATTCAGAAATATGAACAAACAACACTCTTTTTTATTGCACTAATTTATTAAATAATATTAATTTTACAAACGTTTCGAGACCAAGGTTGCCTCATCATCAGTGTATTATAAATTAAAATCTAAAATATAAATGTTAACTGTTCCAATTTGTTTTTACTAATACACGCCAAACGAATTGTAGGCGACTGAAACAACTGTACAAGGTCAACTTGGTGACTCATGAAACAACAAATGCTAAGAAATATGCTAAAAGATTCATTCAACCCAATTTATTTTTCTGTTTTTCAGAAGAATAAGTGACAATATCAAAAACAAAATTCACTCTAGCAATCATCAACTTGGGCATAGTCATATTGGCGACAATTTTCCAAGTGCCTTCTGGCAGAAAAAACGCAGGCAAAAAATCATCATCGTGACGGTAATTCAGATGGTAATTATCCTAAAATAGATAAACAAAAAAAATTAGAAATTCTTTGGATTTTTAGTCCTGGATTTGATTTATCACCAACCGTTCGTATTGGACACCTTTCTGGAAACTTTTGGCCTTTTTCACGAAATTTGGCAACCAGCGGCAACATGAATTTGGACGCAATTTTGGCAACAAATGGGGAACTGTTGGTGATTTTTAAAGATCCAAGAATAGCACACAAATCCAATTTTATACGTGGAAATTGTTCTTTGTAACGATTGCTCACTAGTTGGTATAATTGCCCTTCGCCCTTGATAATAATAAAAAAAAATTTACTTATAATTATCTATGTAAAATTACCATTAGGTTGTCCATAGTTTTCACAAACGTTCCATTCATAATCAAACTTGAATGAGTCCTGTTTAATCTTTTAACTTTAAACTCATGAGGCATAATATATTCTGTATTACAATAATTCAAGTTCATATTACGAAAAATAATTCTATAGTTGTTCTAAAATCACAAAAAATGACTATTGTAACACATAATCATTATCTAACATTTTACAAATCTTACCCAACAGTTGGTGTTAATAATTATTGCAAAAATAAGGCAAAACGTGAAAAATCTTTTCGGATACATTTTCGTATAAATTGTGACTTTCGTTTGAAAATTGATTGTGCGTAGGTTTTTTGCAAAAAAACAAAATACAATCAAAAATTGAAGATTTTAATTTTAGATTAAAATAAAAATTATTCCGGATATTTATACACAACATGTCGAAAATAATTACATCTTGTAATTGTACGTCTATTTACCCGTATCGAAATGTTTACAAAATCCACCATTTTAAATTAAATTTCACGAAAATCCTAACTAAATTCTATTTCTCAAAATTTAGCGCATTAGTTTGCATTTAGTTTGAATTTGATTTAGATTAAAATAGGATCTAAATACAATTTAGTTTGTATTTAGTTAGAATATAGTTTGTACTTAATTTAAATTTAGCTTAAAATTGATTTGGATTTGGTTAGGATTTAATTTGGATTTAGAGAGAATTTTATTAGTATATGATTAGGTTTTAATTGGGATGCAATTCTAATTTAGTTTGCATTTAATTTGAATTTGATTTGGATTAAGATAGGATTTAAATAGAATTTATTTTGTATTTTATAAGAATATAATTTGAATTTAGTTAGAATTGATTTGGATTTAGTTTGGATTTAGAGAGATTTTATTAGTATATGATTAGGATTTATTTGGGATTCAATTCCAATTTAGTTTGCATTTAGTTTGAATTTGATTTGGATTAAGATAGGATTTAAATAGAATTTAGTTTGTATTTAGTTAGAATTTAGTTTGGATTTAATTTGGATTTAAAATTTTTTTTATTAGAATGTAATTAAGATTCAATTCCAATTTAGTTTGAATTTGATTTGGATTAAGTTAGGATCTAAATTGAATTTAGTTTATATTTAGTTGTAATTTAGTTTGGATTTAATTTAGTTTTAGTTCAGAATTGACTTGGATTTGGTTAGGATTTAATTTGAACTTAGAGAGAATTTTATTAAGATAAAATTAGGTTTTGTTTTGGATTCAATTCCAATATAGTTTGGATTTAGTGTTACATTTGATTTGAATTACGATAGGATTTAAATAGAATTCAGTTTTTATCTAGTTAGAATATAGTTTGGATTTTATTTGGATTTAGTTTAGAATTGACTAAGGTTTGATTAGGATTTAAATTGGATTTAAAGAGAATTTTATTAGGATATTATTAAGATTTATTTATAATATAATTTGGAATCAGTTATGATTTAATATTAATTTCCTTAGGATTTGACCAAGATTCAATTTGGATTTCATCAGTTTAATTTGTTTTTAATTTGGATTCATCTAAAATTTAGTCGCGATTTCGTTTGTATTTAAATTTGATTTAATTAGTATTCTGTTCTGATTTATTCAGGATTTGATTTATATTGATTTACGTTATAATTAGGATTTGTTATTTATTTAATTTTCTAATTTGTATTAAGTCTGTATTTAACTAGAATTTTATTTGAAGTTAGTAGGAATTAAATTAGGATTCAAATGTAGTTTTGTTAGGATTTGAGTGAGGATTTAGTTTGGATTTAAGTAGAATTTGATTAGGAATTTAGTTAGAATTTAATTATAATTTAAGTTGAATTCAATTAAAATTTATTTTGGATGTGACTTAAATTTTGTTTGGATTTAAGTAATATTTCAATAGATATTAGTGAAAATTTAATTAGGATTCAAATGGATTTTGGTTAGGATTTAAATAAAATTTCATTGAGACTTAGTTTAAATTTAGTTTCGATTTAAATCAATTTTGTTTAGATAATAGTTGAAATTCAAATTCGGATTTAAGTTGAATATAGTTAGTAATTAATTTGGATTCAAAGTGAATATAGTTTGGATTTAACTTTGATTTAATTTGAATTTAAGTCGAATTTGATTAGAAATTAGTTAGAGTTTAATTTAATTAGGATTTAGTTTGGATTCAAAGTAAATTTAGTTTGGATTCAACTTAAATTTAATTTGGATTTAAGTAGAATTTAATTAGGAATTAGTTAGAATTTAATTATAATTTGAGTTGAATTTAATTGAAATTTAGTTTGTATTTCAAGTGAATTTAGTTTGGATTTAATTCAAATTTAATTTGGTTTTAAGTAGAATTTGATTGGGAATTAGTTAGAATTTAATTATAATTTGCGTTGAATTTAATTAGGATTTAGTTTCGATTACAATTAAACTTAGTTTGGATTTAATTCAGATTTAATTTGGACTTAAGTAGAATTTGATTAGAAAATAGTTAAAATTCAATTATAATTTGAGTTGAATTTAGTTTGGATTTCAATTGAATTTAGTTTGGATTTAACTTATATTTAATTTGGATTTAAGTAGAATTTGATTAGGAATTAGTTAGAATTTAATTATAATTTAAGTTGAATTTAATTAGGATTTAATTTGGATTCAAAGTGAATTTAGTTTGGATTTAACTTAGATATAATTTGGTTTTAAGTCGAATTTGATTAGAAAATAGTTAAAATTCAATTATAATTTGAGTTGAATCTAATTCGGATTTAGTTTGGATTTCAATTGAATTTAGTTTGGATTCAACTTAAATTTAATTTGGATTTAAGTCGAACTTGGTTAGGAATTAGTTAGAATTCAATTATAATTTGAGTTGAAATTAATTAGGATTTAGTTTGGATTCAAAGTGAATTTAGTTTGGATTTAACTAAAATTGAATTTGGATTTAAGTCGAATTTGGTTAGAATTAGTTAGAATTCAATTATAATTTGAGTTGAATTTAATTCGGATTTAGTTTGGATTTCAATTGAAGTTAGTTTGGATTTAACTTCTATTTAATTTAGATTCAAGTAGAATTTGATTAGGAATTAGTTAGAATTTAATTATAATTTGAGTTGAATTTGATTAGGATTTAGTTTGAATTCAAAGTGAATTTAGTTTGGATTTAACTTAGATTTAATTTGATTTTAAGTCGAATTTGATTAGAAAATAGTTTTTTTTTTTTTTTTTTTTTTTTATTGGCCTCTGATAAACATTTAGCCACATACATAATGTACAATATACAGGTAACATATATAGTATATTGGTCACTTACAACTTAATTTTACTATTATTAATAAACCTAATTATGTTAGGATAACAGTTCAGATTTTGCAATAATGATGTCAAATTAAAGGGTTTAATCAGTGTTTTTATAGAGTGTAGTTCCTCTAACAATTTAGCCCTGCTTGCCTCAAATATACTACATTCTAGTATGATGTGTTCAGATGTTCCGCTTGATGCTCCACAGGGACATGATTCTGACTCTATTATTCCCAGCCTCTTCAGGTGTGCAGGGAAGTTGCCATGGTTAAGCCTTAGTCTTGTTATTGTTACGATGGTACCTCTGTTTTCATCTGCATATTTTCGGAACCACGGTTTCGTCTTCAATTTGGGGTTGACTGCCTTGTAGTGTCGTCCCTTTGTTTCCGACGATCTGTTCCATTGTTCTTGCCATTTGTCCAGTATTTTTTCTTTGAATTATTTATATAGTCTTTCCTAGTGGCTAGGTTGATCATAGTTCCGTATTCTGTTGCCCATTTTGCTATGGAGTCCGCTTCATCGTTTCCACTAGAACCGGAGTGCGATCTTGTCCATAATAATTTGACTGTATACCCGTTCTCCAATAGCTGTATAAGTCTATTCCATACTTCATATACTAATGTCTCGCTTAGTCGATTAGTATGGAATAGATTTTTCAGTTTATCTATGCAGCTTTTGCTATCGGTAACGATGACTACTTTAGTGATTTTGTGGCTTTCTATATATTCAATTGCTTTTTTTATAGCTATTAGCTCGGCTGACCAAATTGAAACGAAGTCTGGTAGTTTATATCCTATTTTGATATTATCGTTTTCATAAAATAAAGCGCAGCCAGTTTTGTTATTAATTTTTGACCCGTCTGTAAATATAACTTTATAATCCTCTATGTTGATTGTATTCGTATTGAATATTTTTTCTATCGTATAACTGTTGTCTAATGTGAAAAAGTTATAATACGGGTGTTTATTGTATTTATTTGTGTCTCCTCTTGTTTCAATTACTTTTATATAGCTATATACCAAGCTTGGTTTTGGACGATTTCTCCAATAGTCACTTGTTAATGTATCTATGGCTACATTCTTGATATTTTCGATTGTTCTATTATTTTGTACTTGGTATTTTTTAAGTACAAATTTATCACTTAAATATTGGAATCTTGAATGTAAAGGCATTTCTCCACATTCCACCAACAAGGCGTTTGTAGGTGTGGAGATCATTGCCCCTATGCACAGTCTCAAACATTTATATTGAATTTTTTCTAGCTTTCTGCAGTGAGAAGAGTTACTGAAAGCTAGACTTCCATACTCCCATGATGGTCTAATTATTGTTTTATACAAATTCAGGGCTGTGGTAGGGTGAGCTCCCCACCATGTCCTATTTACCATACGTAAAATGTTGATTTTTGGCTCAATTTTTGTGATTACTTGATTTATATGTGCTTTGAAAGATAGTTTTTGTCGAATGTGACGCCCAAAAATTTATTATTTTCTTGTATTTTGATTGTATGGTATTTAGTCGTTAGTGCTGTTCTTTCTTCTAGCTTCCTGCGTCTTGTAAAGATTCCGATTGAGCTTTTTTCGTCCGACAATTCAAGTCCTTTCTTTGCGAGCCATTCGTGGAAGAGATCTATGTTACGGCTCATCACCTCATAGGCTTCCTGGAGGCTTGATTTTTCTATATATATCACGACGTCATCTGCAAATTGTAATATTTTGGTACCTGTTTCCCATATTTTTTCTATGTCTCTTACATAAATTGAGTATAAGATGGGGCTAAGAATTTCTCCCTGTGGTAGGCCTTTGTAGATTTTTCTCGGCCCTATCAGTTTCCCATTTATTCGGAAAAATATCTTTCTTTCTCGGATGTTGGTCGTAATTGAGTTTATGAATTTTCCTGGTAGTCCAGTGTTAGCCAGAGTATCTTCCAGCACCTCTGGTAGGACGTTATCGTACGCACCTTTAATATCGCTAAATAGAGCAACGACATAGTTGTTTTTTGCCATTGATAGATATAGATCTGATATAAAGATCGTTAGGTTGTCATATGTTCCCATGCCCTTTCTAAATCCACATTGGGATTTGGGAAGTATGTCATACTTTTCTACCCACCATTCTAATCTTCTCTTGATCATTCTATCTTTGACTTTTGCAATGCAGGAAGCCAAAGATATGGGTCTATACGATGAAACTAAATTTGGGTGTTTATTCATTTTTCTGATAAGTATTATCACTTGTTGCCCCCAATCTTCTATTGCTTCTGGATTCAGCCACACTTTATTAATTATATCTACCAGTATACTTTTAGCTTGTGGTGTCAAATTTGCAATCATTGAATATGATATGCCGTCTTTTCCAGGAGCTGTGTTGTTGCTCCTCTTGATAGCTATTTCCAGTTCCCACAATGAGAATGGTTCCATCAGATTGTTTGTTTCTCTTTCCAGGACAGTTTTATTTCCATTGCCTAAGTCATTTTTGGCACCCGGTGGTGATAGATAGTCGATGATTTCCTCACTAATTTCTTCAGGGATATTACTATATGTGTCGGTCCCGTTCGTGTGTTTCTTGAGACGTCTAATCATTCCAAATACTTCTTTGACTGAAGTATTTGGATTCATTTTATTGACGTATTCCTTCCAACTGTCTTTTTTCTTCTTCCTGAAAATGTTTTTGATTTTCTTGTTTATATTCTCACACGTTAAATAGTTTTTATAGTTGGATTCCTGTCTATAAGCTTTTTCACCCTCTCTCCGTTCCTTTATTAGCTGATTGCATTCGTCATCCCACCACACTGGTTTAATGAACCTAGTATTTATCAATTTTTTCCTTTTTGGAATGCTTTTTTCTGCCGCTGAGTTAATTATCCGTATAAAATCTGTGTACGCTTTTACGGGGTCACTTACACAAAATCCATTTAGTTCATCTTCTAGATGTATTTGATACTTTTCCCAGTCTGCTTTATTGAGGTTCCATCCAAGATCGTTATTTTGGAGTTGTGGAACTTCTTTTTGTTTCAGAGTTAGAATTATGGGGTAATGATCTGAGCCCAGAGACTCATCGATTACACTCGAGAGCAAAATGATATATCAACTGCTGTAAAATTGTTTTTAGATCTCAAAGTTGGATTTCCATCATTGAGTATAAATAAGTCATTGGACTCTACGGATTCTAGTAAATTATTTCCCATTCTGCTATTCCATTTACCTCCCCATGCATAATGGTGGGCGTTAAAATCACCGCACAAAATGAATGGGTTTTGGAACTGTGACAATATATGATTCCATTGACTTACTGAGATATTGCTGTTTGGTGCATAAATGGATATAATGGTCAATTTGGTGTTACAGAACATAAGTGTTATTCTTTTGATTTGGCACTTGTTTACATCTATTGTGCCTATATTAATGTTCTCTGTATTGAGTACCGTGATATTATCCTTGACTATTATAGCCGTACCTCCATATCCATCATTTCTATCGTTGCGGAAGATCTTGTAACCTCTGAAAGTGCAGTTGTTACCACCTTTTAACCATGTTTCTGAGAAGGCCGCTATTTGAATCTTTTCCTCGTATAGAAAATGTTCAATGCAGCCTTTATTGGCAAACACTGATCTACAATTGTATTGCAATATTTTCAATTCCTGTGTCATTCTTGTCATTTCGGATTTGTTAGGTTTATCTGATCTCTTTCCATCCTATTAATTATGGCCATTAGCACTTGATTATTTTTTTGGTTGGTAGGGTTAAAAACATCCTTTAGTCTTTTGATTATGTGATTCAGAGATATTTGCTCTGATGTGCTTGGATTTGGTTGTATTCCTCTTTTCTGTATATTTGTCGTTCTAACATCCTTCTCTTTCGTTTTGTCTCTGTTGTCCTCTTTTGTCATTTTCGTGTTTACGTTTTCATTTTTTTAATTGGTATTTTATTTATATTAGGTGACGCTTTTCGTGCATCGTTTTCTGTTTTATTGTTATTATTAGAGTTTTTAATGCTGTTGTCTATGGCTGGTGTCTCAACGCTAGTATTGTGTAGTCTCCGTTTCTTGGGCTGATTCACTTCCGTATTTTCTGGTTCTTTATCTCTTGTGCGTTGTTGGTGATCTTGAATATCGGGAAAAACTTTTTTGTTTTGTAAGTCTAGTCTAGTTGTAATTATATTTGCGTAGGGGCGGTTCTCTAAAATCCTTTTTGCTTCATTATAACTTGCATTATTAAATTCCATTATTTCCTTTAATTTAATTTGTTTTTTGTAGACTTCGCAATTTTTGTTAATTGCCTGATGTCCATTGCCACATAATGCACATTTGGGCTCTTCCTCCCTGTTATCGCACTCCTTGTAGTTGTGGTTACCCGAACAATGTCCGCACCTGACACTACTTCGGCACTGTGTGGTCACGTGACCATACCGTAAACAGTTATAACATTGGATTATTTTGTTGTATTGACTCACCCGACACTTCACCGCATGTATTGTTACTTTCTCAGGTAACCTTTGGCCTCTGAAAGTTAGAACGCATACGGGCGTTTTTACATAATCGTTGTTTTGTTTTTTAAGAATTCGTTTGACTTCTAATATTTCCACTTCAGATTTTATATGTTTCAAAATATGTTCTTCTGATAGCTCGGTGTCTACGTCGTATATTACTCCCTTTTTTATTACAGTAGATAGTGGTATATATGCCCTTGCGCCGATCTCTGAGAATATGTGGTCCGCTACCAACTTGTTTGTGAATTTGTAGTCATAACATTCAATTTTGATTTTGTTAATTCCGATAGCTTTAATTTCCTTTATATATTTGTCCATCTCTGGGTGCTTGTTAAATATCTTTCTTCCTAATGCCATGTGGTGTAGTTTGCCTATGTTTTTGTTCATCGATTCCACATAAATTAAAAATGGTCCTATGTCTTTTTCTGTGTATGACACTGTTTTAAATACTTTAGTATTTCTCGATTGATTATTTTTTTCATATGTATTCTCATTAATCTTATCGTTGGTTTTTAAATTTTCATTAATATTAATTACCTCATTATTATTAATAGTTTCTTGGGAAGGTTTGTCCCCTGTGAGATTTTCACTAGCACTGTTTTTCCCTCGAGTCGTTTCTAGATTTGTTATTGTTTTCATTTCGTTGTTTGATACAACGTCACTTTCTTGCACTGAATTGATTGTTCCTTTGGGTGTAACATCACTATTTAAATTATTTAAATTAGCGTTTGATTCAGTTTCCATATCTTCTCCATAACATATACGCAATGCGTTTCCTATGCACGGACCTAATTGTATTTGTTCACGGTCGTCGTCGGGACCCTCTCCGTAGGGTCCGCTATCCATGATGTCACTATTTCAACTACCTGCTACGGATTACTCACTATTCAACACTGAGGTCTTTATCGTTCGAACGCTCGTTGCTGACTGTAGAAAATAGTTAAAATTCTATTATAATTTGAGTTGAATTTAATTCGGATTTAGTTTGGATTTCAATTGAATTTAGTTTGGATTTAACTAAGATTTAATTCGGTTTCAAGTAGAATTTGATCAGGAATTAGTTAGAATTCAATTATAATTTGAGTTGAATTCAATTAGGATTTAGTTTGGATTCAAAGTGAATTCAGTTTGGATTTAACTTAGATTTAATTTGGATTTAAGTAAAATTTGATTAGGAATTAGTTAAAATTCAATTATAATTTGAGTTGAATTCGATTAGGATTTAGTTTGGATTCAAAGTGAATTTAGTTTGGATTTAACTTAGATTTAATTTGGATTTAAGTATAATTTGATTAGGAATTAGTTAGAATTTAATTATAATTATAGTAGAATTTAATTAGGATTTAGTTTGTATTCAAAGTGAATTTATTTCAAATTTAACTTTGATTAATTTGGATTCAAAGTGAATTTAGTTTGGATTCAACTTAAATTTAATTTGGATTTAAGTCGAATTTGATTGGGAATTAGTTAGAATTCAATTATACTTTGAGTAGAATTCAATTAGGATTCAGTTTGGATTCAAAGTGAATTTAGTTTGGATTTAACTTAAATTTAATTTGGATTTAAGTCGAATTTGATTGGGAATTAGTTAGAATTTAATTATACTTTGAGTAGAGTTCAATTAGGATTCAGTTTGGATTCAAAATGAATTTAGTTCGGTTTAACTTAGATTTAATTTGGATTTAAGTCGAATTTGATTGGGAAATAGTTAGAATTCAATTATACTTTGAGTAGAATTCAATTAGGATTTAGTTTGGATTCAAAGTGAATTTAGTTCAAATTTAACTTAGATTTAAGTAGAGTTTGATTAGGAATTAGTTAGAATTTAAATAGAATTTAGTTTGTATTAGTTATATAATATATTTTGGATTTAATTTGTATTATGTTCAGAATTGACTTGGA